TCATTAGGACTCAGTTTATAACTTTTAACAGAGAAAGGTCCAACATCTTCATCCATTGCATTGATCAAGGTAAATGTAGCTCCTGGCTGCACTGATTCAGAGATATTCAAAACTTGAGTTTCAACAGGGAATTTAGGAGAATTGTCATTCACATCATTAACATTAACTATCACTCGACTCAGACTAAGAGGGTGGTTAACTATCGCTTCAAAATTCAAGGAGCATGATGGTGTATTAGGACATAACTGCTCGCGGTCAATTCTTTCAGCAACATACAAGACGCCAGATTTGAGATTCACATCGAAATACCTCGTCCTCGTGCCGAATACAAGCTGAAACGCCCGTGATTCCAGATCTTGGAGGTTTAAATGCATGTCCTTTACCACATTCCCAACGACAGTTCCGATATTTACTTCCTCGGAAACGGAGTAGACAATCTGACCATACGCAGGCACTGAAACACACATCACGAGCCAGAGGAAAATGATATGCGGGAACATAAAGTCCATTCTGTCTGCCATCCTTCCGTGTGAGACGCCAACGTGACCAAAACACTACACCGGTGATCAAAACTCTAAACACCCAGAATAAAGAACGACACTTTACGGAAACATGCACGCGAAAAGCATCTACATTGTGACGCTCGGTTACAGCACGTCACTCAGTCAAATTGTAGGCGGAGTTCAGAGATAATATGGAAATTATTAAAGTTTCGCGGTCTGCAGTGACACCACGCGGATTACGTGCGGTTCTGTGACGAAACATAGGCTACAGCATCACAAAATAAAATATCACCTAGTGTAAATTAAGTTAACACAGGAAAAGTTTTGTTAGTCTATAAAAAGTCTAAAATTGGCTACACCAAAACACAAGTCAGAATAAAATTCAGTATTTCAGATACTTTAGCCTAAACATTGGAACTGCAAAGAGCTTTTTTTTCTCTCTCTCTCAATAGTCTCGTATTATAAATGATATGTGTGAGATACACTGAATTAAATTATGAAGCTTATAGAAGGCCGTAAATAATTAGCTAAAATATGTCACGAATAAATGAATAAAAAAACATCGAAAAAGTATATTTGGTCTTAAAATTTTAAGGGTGAAAATTAGTGGACACTAATTCTGAGTCAGATATGTAGTAGGCCTATTGTAAACCTATTAACATAAAGCTATGATTAGGGGGGAAATCAGCTAAAAAAAAAAAGAAAGAAACTACTGCATCAGGTTTTGTTGTTGTTGTTGTTGTTGTTGTTGTTTACAGAGAGTAAGTTTTCCTTTATATTTGCTATAAATTTGTTTAAAAAAAAACTGGCTATTTTATGGTAATTTATCGTTCTGTTTATATAACAGAACACTTGTTTTCAGATTTACTTTCACAGTCCTTCATGCAGTTTATAAAATATGATAATCTTCCAACAATGCACATTTCCAGCAATAAGCCTCTTTTTTGACTCTCCCTAGAACAAACATGACCTGAAAAGAATGATAGACACAAGGACATAAAAAATATTCATTATTAAGAAATTGTTTGCCATTATATACACCCTGGCTGCACTTAATCCCTTGCACTGACAACCTATACAATTTGACTAAATGCATGTTATCTACATCTACAAAAAGCTACATCCTATTAGAAAAATGGAACAATCAGTGTATATGAGTGTGTGTTGCACACAATTGCCCATATTCAACTGTCCTTAGCATGACACGTGAAAATGAACTACACCACAAGCAAAATCACACATTCACTCTCATAACTGCCAAAAAGAGTCTGTTCAGTATGATGACATTTTCAAACTTATCTTACCTTGGTAGTGCTTGGAAGTGTTTGAGTCCTATTAAAAGTGTCTCCTTCATTAATGCTGATTAGCTCAGCGTCTGGCAATGGAAAGGTAGATGGGAAAACGACTACATCACTCTTTATTGTGTCCGAACTAAAACACACGTCATACTGTTGAGTAGATTTAGAGAAGGACCAGCTTCCATCTGGATGGGTGCTGATCACTGGAGCGCTGTACCTGCTGAAACTGCCGTCTGTCCTGTAGCATTTAGCTGCTATCAAACCCACGAGACTCAGTAAAAAGATGACTGATACTGAGACGATAGCAATGAGCAGATACACATTCAGATCTGAGAAACTCTCCTCTTTAACAGGAACTTCTCTGAATGATGTCTTTATGTCATCCAGACTCTCAACAACCACAACATCCATGGACATAGTCGCTGAGAGTGATGGCTCTCCATTATCAGACACTGTAATAATAAGTGGGTGAGTTTTTAAGTCATTGTCACTCATTCTTCTCTTAGTCTTTATTTCTCCAGTGCTGCTTCCAATGCGGAAGAGATTAGTTCCTTTGGCTTCACTTATGTGATAAGACAGAAGAGCGTTATATCCAGAGTCAGCATCAACAGCTCTGATCTTGGCTACAAAGTATCCCGCTTCAGCAGAGTAGGGAATGTTCTCAGTGTTAACTGATCCAGGATCAGAATAGGGTGGTAAAATAACTGGACTGTTGTCATTCTCATCCAGAATAAACACATTTACAGTCACATTACTGCTCAGAGCAGGAACACCAGAGTCTGTTGCCATCACTTCAAACTGAAATTTTTTTGTTTCCTCGTGATTAAATGATTGTAAACTGAATATTTCTCCACTCAAAGAGTTTATATTGATCAGTGTTGTTACAGGAACTCTGGAACTGGAACTGTCTAACAGTGAATATGAAAGTTCTGCGTTCTCACCAGTGTCTGAATCATCAGCTGTCACTTTTGTCACGAGACCTCCAGCTTGACCATTCTCACTTAGAAAAGCGTTAATAACGGATGCTGAGAAATGTGGGGGATTGTCATTAACATCAGAGATATGTACAGTTATAACAGTGCTGCTGGAAAGAGCCGGAGTTCCTTCATCTGAAGCTGCAATTGTGATGTTATACTGAGAAACACTCTCTCTGTCCAGAGGTCCGTCTACCACTAGAGAATAATGATTGTTATATGACGTTTCCAGTTTGAAAGGAAACAAGCCTTTCAGCGCACAGTGAACAATGCCATTTTTACCTCCATCTTTATCAGACACTGTGACTAAAGCAACAGCAGTTCCTGACTTTGTGTCTTCTTTCACATTTTCCAACAGAGGAGTCACAATTATCTCTGGTGCATTGTCATTTTCATCCATAACTTCTATTAAAATTTTACATTGGGTGCTCTTTGGTGGGCTGCCTTTATCTCTTGCCTGAATTCGCAATTCAATTGCAGCATTTATCTCATGGTCTATTTGACCCTTTACAACAATATCCCCTGTTTCAGGAATCACAGTGAATATACTTTGCTTTTTTATGTTTCCATGTTCAGCTATGGAATAAATAATGTCACTGTTGGTGCCCTCATCCAAATCAGTAGCAGTCAAAGAGATGATTTTTGAACCAACAGAAACATTTTCTCTCACCTTGATTTTGTACAATGGTTTGCTGAAGACAGGCTTGTTATCATTTATATCAATAACATTCACTATTACACTTAACGTGCCTGTCTTTGCGGGCTTTCCTCCATCAACAGCTGTCAATACAAGAGGAATAACCGATTGCTTTTCACGATCTAAAGGTTTTTGAAGCACTAACTCAGCAGACACACTTTGCTCTTCAGTTTGCACGTCAACAGAAAATTGTTCATTCTTGCTCAGTTTGTATTCTTTCAGTGCATTAATGCCAATATCTTTATCTTCAGCTACAGGAAGATGAAATCTCTCCCCTGGAACAACATCCTCGGTAATGTTTATCATTATAACGCTCTCCACAAAATATGGAGAATTATCGTTAACATCCAGAACATTAATTTCAATTCGATAAAGACTATGTGGATTTTGAACAACAGCCTCCAAATTAAGAGCACATTCCTGATTAGCAAAGCATAATTCCTCCCGGTCAATTCTTTCATTCACAAACAACGCTCCCGTTTTCAAATTCACGTCAAAATATTTTCTGTTGGATCCGGATACAAGCTGCAAGATACGAGATTCCAGCTCCTGAACACTCATCTTGAGATCTTTTGCTATATTTCCGACAACAGTTCCCTTGTTTACTTCCTCCGACACGGAATACATAATCTTGCCGAATGAAAAATGCCATAATCCAAAATGAAGAGCCGTTATGACGCAAAAATATCTCAAGATTTCCATCGTTGTTCTTTCAAAGCTTCAAAGATTAATCATGTTTAAAAAAAAAACGTAAATGTGTATCTTGTTGCTGCCAGGCTCTTCGTCTCGGAAGCATGTAGGCTCCTGTATAATACCCGATCATTTGCTCATGGTAATAAGAGGCGGTTGTTCTTCCAGGGGAGGAGCCTCATTTTAATACGAGAAGTGCTTAAAATCCATGGTCTACAACGACATCGCGCGTTTCAACTGCATGCTGAATGGGATATTTTATTTAGAGTGCTATATCTCACAATTCACATATATATGATGTTTTTTTTTATTTTATTTTTTTAAAGAATTAGTTAATTGCAAAATATAAATGCAAATAAAAAGACAAATTTTGGGTAAAGATCTGCACCACTCGATATAATAAGTAGGTCTGCATTAAGATAGTAGGAAGCTATTTGAAATATGTTTACGTCTAATTACAAAAATGTACGGAATGTAAAGGGAAGATTAGGTGTTCTTTATCCATGGTGCTGAAGCCCTTTCTTTCAAAAAAAAAAAAAAAAATGAAAATACCCTTAAGTTTATAAATTTTTAACATAAAACAGCATAATAACTTGATTATAATATGCATACTATGATTTATTATTATTATTGTTATTATTATCAGTCGTCATCGTTTTTTATTGTCTTTATTAATTGGCATTTTCTTGATGTTTTTTTTTTTTTTTTTTTGCCATTGAAAAATTGCATTAAAGATGTTATCCGCGAAATCAAAGAAAAGAAGCGATAAAAAATGTTTGCAAATACCAACACAACTTCAGTGACAACAACATTTCAAACTCCACATGTTTTACAGAACTCAAAGTCTTCTTACCTTCTCGGTGGTAGGAAGAGTTTGTGTGCGCGTAAAAGTGTCTTCTCCACTATTAATGCTGATCAACTCCGCGTCTGCTGGTGGAAACGGCGAGGGGAAAACGACTACATCACTCTTTATTGTGTCTGAACTAAAACATACGTCATACTGTTGAGTAGATTTAGAGAAGGACCAGCTTCCGTCTGGATGGGTGCTGATCACTGGAGCGCTGTACCTGCTGAAACGGGCGTCTGTCCTGTAGCATTTAGCTGCTATCAAACCCACGAGACTCAGTAAAAAGATGACTGATACTGAGACGATAGCGATGAGCAGATACACGTTCAGATCTGAGAAACTCTCCTCTTTAACAGGAACTTCTCTGAATGGTGTCTTTATGTCATCCAGACTCTCAACAACCACAACATCCATGGACATAGTCGCTGAGAGTGATGGCTCTCCATTATCAGACACTGTAATAATAAGTGGGTGAGTTTTTAAGTCATTGTCACTCATTCTTCTCTTAGTCTTTATTTCTCCAGTGCTGCTTCCAATGCGGAAGAGATTAGTTCCTTTGGCTTCACTTATATGATAAGACAGAAGAGCGTTATATCCAGAGTCAGCATCAACAGCTCTGATCTTGGCTACAAAGTATCCCGCTTCAGCAGAGTAGGGAATGTTCTCAGTATTAACTGATCCAGGATCAGAATAAGGCGGCAAAATAACTGGACTGTTGTCATTCTCATCCAGAATAAACACATTTACAGTCACATTACTGCTCAGAGGAGGAACACCAGAGTCTGTTGCCATCATTTCAAACTGAAATCTTTTTGTTTCCTCATGATTAAATGATTGTAAACTGAATATTTCTCCACTCAAAGAGTTTATATTGATCAGTGTTGTTACAGGAACTCTGGAGCTGGAACTGTCTAACAGTGAATATGAAAGTTCTGCGTTCTCACCAGTGTCTGAATCATCAGCTGTCACTTTTGAAACGAGACCTCCAGCTTGACCATTCTCACTTAGAAAAGCGTTAATAACGGGTGCTGGGAAATGTGGGGCATTGTCATTAACATCAGAGATATGTACAGTTATAACAGTGCTGCTGGAAAGAGCCGGAGTTCCTTCATCTGAAGCTGTAATTGTGATGTTATACTGAGAAACACTCTCTCTGTCAAGAGGTCCGTCTACCACTAGAGAATAATGATTGTTATATGACGTCTCCAGTTTGAAAGGAAACGAGCCTTTCAGCGCACAGTGAACAATGCCATTTTTACCTCCATCTTTATCAGACACTGTGACTAAAGCAACAGCAGTTCCTGGTTTTTCGTCCTCTTTCACACTTTCCAACAGAGGAGTCACACCTATCTCAGGTGCATTATCATTTTCATCCAAAACTTCAATTAAAATTTTACATTGTGTGCTTTTTGGTGGACTGCCTTTATCTCTCGCCTGAACTCGTAACTCAATAGCAGGATTTTCCTCGTAATCAATTTGTCCTTTAACAACAACATCTCCTGTGTCTGGGATAATGGAAAATATGTCTTGCTTCTTTCCATGACCAACAAATGAGTATATAATTTCATTATTTATTCCTTCATCCAAATCAGTTGCAAAGACAGATATAACTTTAGTATTAGCTGCAATATTTTCTTTAACTTTGACTTTGTAAAGAGGTTGACTGAACACTGGGTTATTGTCATTAACATCCATGACATTTATAATAATATTTAAAGTCCCTGATTTAGGTGTTTTTCCTCCATCTATCCCGGTGAGAACTAACTTAATAATCGCTTGCTTCTCTCGATCTAAAGCCTTGTTCAGCACTAACTCTGCAGACACACTCTGGTCTTCACTCTGTGTATCGAGACTAAAATGTTCATTCGGACTCAGTTTGTACTCTTTCAGTGAATTACTGCCAACATCAGAGTCATGAGGCATAGGGAGAGGAAATCTCTCTCCAGGACTTGCGTTTTCACTAACATTCAAAGTAAATATTTTAACAGGAAAATGTGGCGCATTGTCGTTTATATCCAAAATCTTAACTTCCACCCTGTAAAGACGATGAGGATTTTTAGCGAGGGCCTCTATATTCAAAGAGCATTTCTGGTTCGACATACATATTTCATCACGGTCAATCCTTTCATTAACAAACAGCACGCCCGTTTTCAGATTTACATCAAAATACTTCTTATTTGATCCAGTCACGATCTCAAACATGCGAGATTCCAGGTCGTGAACATTTAGGTTCAGGTCTTTCGCTATATTGCCAACAGCTGTTCCACTATTTACCTCTTCCGGTACGGAATAGACGATCTGAGCAAACGCAGAATCCAGCAATGAAAGGAAAAATATAAATCCACACTCGAAATATCCCATAAATGCCATGATGGTGATTCACAAATGTCTTGAAGATAGCTAAAAAAAGATAAACGCGAGAGAAGCCAATATTTCTTCTTTGCATTAAGAAGCACGAGACGAAACAGAGACCATAATCATGTCTCAACGACAGATACACTATAACACCAAGATTCTGAGACAGGCTTCAGAATAAATCCTTTAAACCTTTAACTGACGGTCTGCAGTGACACCATGTGCTGAAACTATGCAATAACAGGAATAATGCATAATACAAAACAGCTGAAGGAACAACAAAATGCTTGGAGACAACAACAAAGATAGCCTACTGATTTTCAAAGTATATCAACAATAAAAAAAAAACATCCCAATATATATATTAGTGACAGATTATTTATTGTATAATCCTAATGCTATTAATTAGCTAATACGACTGCAAAATAAAGTGAAAAAAAAACGTCCTAGGGGAAAATAAAGACGCCGGCTAAAAGATATTTACACGGGACAGGTTATGACGGAACACTACTTTGCAAAAGAAAATAACGATCCTCTTGGGGAGCTGCACAGAGACACAGTGAAAAGGTCAAATCAGTTATATCATGAAAAAAATGGACTGCTGTATTGACCAATTGGCATTTAGGATTATAATTATTAGTCTATTATTATTATTATTATTATCATCATTATTATTTCGCAATTTAATTTCACATTTCCCGTCACGTACTGTACGTCTGTTTAACTTTGTTGTTCGCTTGACATCGCGGTAAACTATATCGATTATTACAATATTTTTAAATATTAATTGTTTTGATACTTGAAAACGGCCATATATATATATATATATATATATATATATATTAATCAGTATGTTAGTAAAACTACAGATTAAATGTATTCATAATTTAGCACAACAACTTTAAAATCAAGTGAAACAACCACGGTGTGAAAACCAAACCAACAATTATGACAATGACAACCATAACAAATAATTGCGAACTGCTGAGGACAATAGTTAGGATGGATACATTTTAACTCTAAATTTCAACGATCAACTTACCTTTCCAGTGGTAGGAAGAGTTTGTGTGCGCGTAAAAGTGTCTTCTCCACTATTAATGCTGATCAACTCCGCGTCTGCTGGTGGAAACGGCGAGGGGAAAACGACTACATCACTCTTTATTGTGTCCGAACTAAAACACACGTCATACTGTTGAGTAGATTTAGAGAAGGACCAGCTTCCGTCTGGATGGGTGCTGATCACTGGAGCGCTGTACCTGCTGAAACTGCCGTCTGTCCTGTAGCATTTAGCTGCTATCAAACCCACGAGACTCAGTAAAAAGATGACTGATACTGAGACGATAGCGATGAGCAGATACACATTCAGATCTGAGAAACTCTCCTCTTTAACAGGAACTTCTCTGAATGATGTCTTTATGTCATCCAGACTCTCGACAACCACAACATCCATGGACATAGTCGCTGAGAGTAATGGCTCTCCATTATCAGACACTGTAATAATAAGTGGGTGAGTTTTTAAATCATTGTCACTCATTCTTCTCTTAGTCTTTATTTCTCCAGTGCTGCTTCCAATGCGGAAGAGATTAGTTCCTTTGGCTTCACTTATATGATAAGACAAAAGAGCGTTATATCCAGAGTCAGCATCAACAGCTCTGATCTTGGCTACAAAGTATCCCGCTTCAGCAGAGTAGGGAATGTTCTCAGTATTAACTGATCCAGGATCAGAATAAGGCGGTAAAATAACTGGACTGTTGTCATTCTCATCCAGAATAAACACATTTACAGTCACATTGCTGCTCAGAGGAGGAACACCAGAGTCTGTTGCCATCACTTCAAACTGAAATCTTTTTGTTTCCTCGTGATTAAATGATTGTAAACTGAATATTTCTCCACTCAAAGAGTTTATATTGATCAGTGTTGTTACAGGAACTCTGGAGCTGGAACTGTCTAACAGTGAATATGAAAGTTGTGCGTTCTCACCAGTGTCTGAATCATCAGCTGTCACTTTTGTCACGAGACCTCCAGCTTGACCATTCTCACTTAGAAAAGCGTTAATAACGGGTGCTGGGAAATGTGGGGCATTGTCATTAACATCAGAGATATGTACAGTTATAACAGTGCTGCTGGAAAGAGCCGGAGTTCCTTCATCTGAAGCTGTAATTGTGATGTCATACTGAGAAACACTCTCTCTGTCCAGAGGTCCGTCTACCACTAGAGAATAATGATTGTTATATGACGTTTCCAGTTTGAAAGGAAACGAGCCTTTCAGCGCACAGTGAACAATGCCATTTTTACCTCCATCTTTATCAGACACTGTGACTAAAGCAACAGCAGTTCCTGACTTTGTGTCTTCTTTCACATTTTCCAAAAGAGGAGTCGTAACTATCTCTGGTGCATTGTCATTTTCATCAATAACTTCTATTAAAACTTTACAGTGTGCACTTTTAGGAGGGCTGCCTTTATCTCTCGCCTGAACACGGAGTTCAATTGCAGAATCATCCTCGTAATCAATGTGTCCTTGAACAACAATTTCCCCAGAGTTAGGATTGATGCTAAACAGTTTCTGATCATCGGTATTTCCATGAAATGAATATTGAATTTCACTATTGATGCCCTCATCCAAATCAGTGGCAGAAACAGAAATTATTTCGGTTGCAATTGGTGTGTTTTCTTTTACTTTAACTTTGTATAAAGGTTTACTGAAAATAGGCTGATTATCGTTTATATCCATGACATCAACAACAATACTCAAGGTTCCAGATTTAGGAGGTTTTCCTCCGTCAACAGCCGTTAATATTAAGTGAATAACGGCTTGTTTCTCTCGGTCTAAAGCTTTCTGTAGTACTAACTCAGCAGATATACTCTTTTGCCCGCTATGAACATCTAAAGAAAAGTACTCATTTGAACTCAGTTTGTAATCTTTCAGAGAATTACTGCCAACATCGAAATCTTTTGCAATCGGAAGAGGAAATCTTTCCCCATCGTTTGCATTCTCTGTAACATTGACAACATACACGCTGGCAATAAAAAACGGAACATTGTCGTTCACATCCACAATTATAATTTCAAGCCGATAAAGTCTGTGCGGATTCTGAGCAAGAGCCTCTAAATTTAATGTACATTTCTGATTAGAGCCACACAACTCCTCACGATCAATCCTGTCTTTGACAAACAGCGACCCCGTTTTCACATTTACATCAAAATACTTTGCATTTGATCCAGGCATAATCTGAAACATGCGTGATTCCAGTTCCTGAGCGCTGATCTTGAGGTCTTTTGCAACATTCCCGATCACGGTTCCTTTATTTACCTCCTCGGAGACGGAATAGACAATCTGGCCAACCGAAGATTTCCATAACAGAAATAAAGCAATCCAGAAGCCATAATATCTGGAGATATCCATGATTGTGCAAGAAAATGTCCTGATATTAAAAGCGATTAAAACAACTAAATAAACATCTCTCGATACAATCCGAAATCACGACGCAGTTGCTACTAAGCCTTGGTTATTTGCACCCTTACAACGCACATTCTGTTGCTGTAAAGGAGGAGCTCAGATGACTCTCAAAGTTGTGGTCTGCAGTGCCACCACGTGTTGTAATAGTGATGATACCATGAGATGTTACTTCATACAGGATTCTATAAAACTAAGAGTGAACTAAACGAAAACATTCATAAACTCAAATCGAAATCGTCATATCAACACAATAATTACAAAACAGAAAATATTTTTGTATTACAGCAAATACAAATATTGAAAAGGAATACACAACGGCGATGCCGCTGTCCGTGGTGCTGAATTGATATAGCTTTTTAAATACAAAATAGGCTACAGTTAGTATGATAGGGTCATTATTCCAGTATTGTTACAAAGTCATGTGATAATGAACTTACTTGCAAAACTAAACTGTATCATCGCAGCAAGTGAGAAATTTAAATACTATTTCTAAATTGACAAAGCTGTCAAGTTGGTTACGGATTATATTGAGTATCGGGTTGGGATGCGTGTAATAAAATAAAAAAGAAGATATTTCCTATAATTTATTATTAGAGACATCTAAACTGGAATGTTAACGGTAATGACAGTTTATAAAAAAAACTTATCGTTTCTAAAAAATAAAAATAAAAATATTTGCAAGTCAAGCAGTAATTGCAATGCACAAGCAAGCAAGTTGCAATGTCTTACCTTTCCAGTAGGAAGAGTTTGTGTGCGCGTAAAAGTGTCTTCTCCACTATTAATGCTGATCAACTCCGCGTCTGCTGGTGGAAACGGCGAGGGGAAAACGACTACATCACTCTTTATTGTGTCCGAACTAAAACACACGTCATATTGTTGAGTAGATTTAGAGAAGGACCAGCTTCCGTCTGGATGGGTGTTGATCACTGGAGCGCTGTACCTGCTGAAACTGCCGTCTGTCCTGTAGCATTTAGCTGCTATCAAACCCACGAGACTCAGTAAAAAGATGACTGATACTGAGACGATAGCGATGAGCAGATACACATTCAGATCTGAGAAACTCTCCTCTTTAACAGGAACTTCTCTGAATGATGTCTTTATGTCATCCAGACTCTCAACAACCACAACATCCATGGACATAGTCGCTGAGAGTGATGGCTCTCCATTATCAGACACTGTAATAATAAGTGGGTGAGTTTTTAAGTCATTGTCACTCATTCTTCTCTTAGTCTTTATTTCTCCAGTGCTGCTTCCAATGCGGAAGAGATTCGTTCCTTTGGCTTCACTTATATGATAAGACAGAAGAGCGTTATATCCAGAGTCAGCATCAACAGCTCTGATCTTGGCTACAAAGTATCCCGCTTCAGCAGAGTAGGGAATGTTCTCAGTATTAACTGATCCAGGATCAGAATAAGGTGGTAAAATAACTGGACTGTTGTCATTCTCATCCAGAATAAACACATTTACAGTCACATTACTGCTCAGAGGAGGAACACCAGAGTCTGTTGCCATCACTTCAAACTGAAATCTTTTTGTTTCCTCGTGATTAAATGATTGTAAACTGAATATTTCCCCACTCAAAGAGTTTATATTGATCAGTGTTGTTACAGGAACTCTGGAGCTGGAACTGTCTAACAGTGAATATGAAAGTTCTGCGTTCTCACCAGTGTCTGAATCATCAGCTGTCACTTTTGTCACGAGACCTCCAGCTTGACCATTCTCACTTAGAAAAGCGTTAATAACGGGTGCTGGGAAATGTGGGGCATTGTCATTAACATCAGAGATATGAACAGTTATAACAGTGCTGCTGGAAAGAGCCGGAGTTCCTTCATCTGAAGCTGTAATTGTGATGTTAAACTGAGAAACACTCTCTCTGTCCAGAGGTCCGTCTACCACTAGAGAATAATGATTGTTATATGATGTCTCCAGTTTGAAAGGAAACAAGCCTTTCAGCGCACAGTGAACAATGCCGTTTTTACCTCCATCTTTATCAGACACTGTGACTAAAGCAACAGCAATTCCTGACTTTGTGTCTTCTTTCACATTTTCCAACAGAGGAGTCACAATTATCTCTGGTGCATTATCATTTTCATCCATAACTTCTATTAAAACTTTACAATGTGTGGTCCTTGGTGAATGGCCTTTATCTCTTGCCTGAACTCGTAACTCAATAGCAGGATTTTCCTCGTAATCAATTTGTCCTTTTACAACAATATCTCCTGTCTCAGGGATTATGGTAAAAGTGTCTTGTTTTTTTCCGTGACCAGCAAATGAGTACATGATTTCACTATTTATTCCTTCATCCAAATCAGAGGCAAACACAGATAAAACTTTAGTATCAACAACAACATTTTCCTTCAGTTTGACTTTGTAAAGAGGTTGACTGAACACTGGGTTATTATCATTAGCATCAATGACGTTTATAATAATATTTAAAGTCCCTGATTTAGGTGGTTTTCCACCATCTATCCCGGTGAGAACTAACTTAATAATCGCTTGCTTCTCTCGATCTAAAGCCTTGTTCAGCACTAACTCTGCAGACACACTCTGGTCTTCACTCTGTGTATCGAGACTGAAATGTTCATTCGGACTCAGTTTGTACTCTTTCAGTGAATTACTGCCAACATCAGAGTCATCGGGCACCGGGAGAGGAAATCTCTCGCCAGGATTGGCTGTTTCAGTTATATTTATAGTAAACACTTTAACAGGAAAATGTGGCGCATTGTCGTTTATATCCAAGATCTTAACCTCTACTCTGAAAAGACGATGAGGATTTTTTGCGAGGGCCTCTATATTCAAAGAGCATTTCTGGTTCGACATACATATTTCCTCACGGTCAATCCTTTCATTAACAAACAGCACGCCCGTTTTCAGATTTACATCAAAATACTTCTTGTTTGATCCAGTCACGATCTCAAACATGCGAGATTCCAGGTCGTGAACATTTATGTTCAGGTCTTTCGCTATATTGCCAACAGCTGTTCCCTTATTTACCTCTTCCGGTATGGAATAGACGATCTGAGCAAACGCAGAATCCAGCAATGAAAGGAAAAATATAAATCCACACTCGAAATATCCCGCAAATTCCATAATGGGGATTCACAGCTGGCGTAATGATATAAAAACAAAATATAAACGCACGGGAATCTTGTTTGCATTCAGGCAACACGAGACGGAACAGAGACCATCACCATGCCTCAACGCCAGATACACTATAACACCAAGATTCTGAGACAGGCTTCAGGACAAATCCTTTAAGCCTCTAACTGACGGTCTGCAGTGACACCATGTGCTGAAACTATGCCACAACAGGAATAATACAAAATAGCTGAAGGAACAACATTATGCTTGGAAACAACAACAGCCATTTTCAAAGTAATCCAACAATGAAAATCACCGCAATACTACCCTGATGAAAAAAAAGTAAAAGTATACTTGCGGCCAAACTAATTATCAGTAGGTGTGTTAATGATTAGCTATTTAACCTGAAGTGACTAATTTTGTATTAAGTATATTTTAGCTGTAATTTAATAGTAAAGCATAACTAAGTCCATTTAGTGTACTTAATACCAACTTCAAGTATAGGGGATCAGGAAAGTTCCAGCCGGGACTCGAACTTGGGTGGTACACTGGCCCACGAGGCTATCGTGGTGTATAATGATATAACGGGTGGTCTGATATATTTGAATAAAAAGTAAAGGCTAATTAATACATTTGGCTTACTCCAAATACTACATGTTGAACTTTGTTTTCAATAGCAAATGTACATTATTACACAAATAAAATTATACGTTGACCAAAAAATTATTGTATAATGTATTATTTTGAAAGTATACTTTCAGTGCATTGTTACAATGATCATTTCCAGCATATACACATTAAAATATACCTAAAATAAATTTTTTAATGAAGTGCAAATAAATACACTTTTAAAAAATAAACTGAATTTTCACTTCAAGCATATTTTTCTAAATTAAATTTTTAGAAAATATACTTAAGTATAATTATTTTAAAGTGTGTTAAACGTTGTATTGTGAAGGTAAAAGCATGATGCTAATATACTTTTAAAATATTTGAAGAAAGTAGGCCTATTTTTGTTATATTTGCAATGTACTATTGAAAAATGTAATATATTTTAAATACAATAAAGTATAGGCCTACTTTTTTCACTAGGGTATATATAGCCTATATAATTCAGTTATTAATGCTGCTATAAGACTGGAAACAAACAGAAGAAATGGCTAAAAATATTCTAGGGCCAGGTTATGACAGAGGAAAACTGCTTTTGCAACAAAAATAATGATCCTCTTGGGGAGCTGCACAGAGAAATACTGAAGACGTCAAAGCAGTTACTATCATGTTAAATAACAATGTTGGAATGCTGTAGCCTATTGACCAATCTGCATTTAGCTCCGGACTTATTAATAATAATAATAATAATAAGTTTCTTTTTTATTTTAATTGCATAATTCCTGTAACCTACGTCTCTAATATTGTTATATTTGATTGACATTTTTTTATGTTTTGTAAACTATATAGATTATTCCATTATTTTTATACTAATTATTTTAATATATATGGCAAAAAAAAAATCCTGCATCCTGGACAAGATAAATAATAGTATTCATAATTCGTATAAGTTATCAAGACAAATTCGTAAATGTTAAACAAGTGAAACAACCACGTTGTGAAAACCAAATCAACAGTTGTGACTTGTGACAACCATAATAAATAATTGAAAACAGCTGATCAAAATAATAAAGATGTAAAAAATGTACACACACTTTCAACCATCTTCTTACCTTCTCGGTGGTAGGAAGAGTTTGTGTGCGGGTAAAAGTGTCTTCTCCACTATTAATGCTGATCAACTCCGCGTCTGCTGGTGGAAACGGCGAGGGGAAAACGACTACATCACTCTTTATTGTGTCTGAACTAAAACACACGTCATACTGTTGAGTAGATTTAGAGAAGGACCAGCTTCCGTCTGGATGGGTGCTGATCACTGGAGCGCTGTACCTGCTGAAACTGCCGTCTGTCCTGTAGCATTTAGCTGCTATCAAACCCACGAGACTCAGTAAAAAGATGACTGATACTGAGACGATAGCGATGAGCAGATACACATTCAGATCTGAGAAACTCTCCTCTTTAACAGGAACTTCTCTGAATGATGTCTTTATGTCATCCAGACTCTCAACAACCACAACATCCATGGACATAGTCGCTGAGAGTGATGGCTCTCCATTATCAGAGACTGTAATAATAAGTGGGTGAGTTTTTAAGTCATTGTCACTCATTCTTCTCTTAGTCTTTATTTCTCCAGTGCTGCTTCCAATGCGGAAGAGATTAGTTCCTTTGGCTTCACTTATATGATAAGACAGAAGAGCGTTATATCCAGAGTCAGCATCAACAGCTCTGATCTTGGCTACAAAGTATCCCGCTTCAGCAGAGTAGGGAATGTTCTCAGTATTAACTGATCCAGGATCAGAATAAGGCGGTAAAATAACTGGACTGTTGTCATTCTCATCCAGAATAAACACATTTACAGTCACATTACTGCTCAGAGGAGGAACACCAGAGTCTGTTGCCATCACTTCAAACTGAAATCTTTTTGTTTCCTCGTGATTAAATGATTGTAAACTGAATATTTCTCCACTCAAAGAGTTTATATTGATCAGTGTTGTTACAGGAACTCTGGAGCTGGAACTGTCTGACAGTGAATATGAAAGTTGTGCGTTCTCACATGTCTGAATCATCAGCTGTCACTTTTGTCACGAGACCTCCAGCTTGACCATTCTCACTTAGAAAAGCGTTAATAACGGGTGCTGGGAAATGTGGGGCATTGTCATTAACATCAGAGATATGAACAGTTATAACAGTGCTGCTGGAAAGAGCCGGAGTTCCTTCATCTGAAGCTGTAATTGTGATGTTATACTGAGAAACACTCTCCCTGTCCAGAGGTCCGTCTATCACTATAGAATAATGATTGTTATATGACGTCTCCAGTTTGAAAGGAAACGAGCCTTTCAGCGCACAGTGAACAATGCCATTTTTACCTCCATCTTTATCAGACACTGTGACTAAAGCAACAGCAGTTCCTTGTTTTGAGTCCTCTTTCACACTTTCCAACAGAGGAGTCGTAACTATCTCTGGTGCATTATCATTCTCATCCACAACTTCTATTAGAACTTTACAGTGTGCACTTTTTGGAGGGCTGCCTTTATCTCTCGCCTGAACACGGAGTTCAATTGCAGAATCATCCTCGTAATCAATGTGTCCTTGAACAACAATTTCCCCAGAGTTAGGATTAATGCTAAACAGTTTCAATTCATCGGTATTTCCATGAAATGAATATTGAACTTTACTATTGATGCCCTCATCCAAATCAGTGGCAGAAACAGAAATTATTTTGGTTCCAATTTGTGTGTTTTCATTTACTTTAACTTTGTATAAAGGTTTACTGAAAATAGGCTGATTATCGTTTATATCCACGATGTCAATAACAATACTCAATGTTCCAGATTTAGGAGGTTTTCCTCCATCAACAGCGGTTAATATTAAGTGAATAACGGCTTGTTTCTCTCGGTCTAAAGCTTTCTGTAGTACTAACTCAGCAGATATACTCTTTTGCCCGCTATGAACATCTAAAGAAAAATATTCATTTGAACTGAGTTTGTAATCTTTCAGAGAATTACTACCAACATCTGAATCTTTTGCAATCGGGAGAGGAAATCTTTCCCCCTCGTTTCCATTCTCTGTAACATTGACAACATACATGCTGTCAATAAAAAACGGAGCATTGTCGTTCACATCCACAATTATAATTTCAAGCCGATAAAGTCTGTGCGGATTCTGAGCAAGAGCCTCTAAATTCAATGTACATTTCTGATTAGAGCCACACAACTCCTCACGATCAATCCTGTCTTTGACAAACAGCGACCCCGTTTTCACATTTACATCGAAATAATTTGCATTTGATCCAGGCATAATCTGAAAAATGCGTGATTCCAGTTCCTGAGCGCTGATCTTGAGGTCTTTTGCAACATTCCCGATGACGGTTCCTTTATTTACCTCCTCGGAGACGGAATAGGCAATCTGGCCAACCGAAGATTTCCATAATAGAAATAAAACAATCCAGAAGCCATAATATCCGGAGAAATCCATGATTGTGCAAGAAAATGTCCTGCTATTATAAGCGATTAAAACAAATAAAAATAAACCTCTCACGATACAATACGAAATCACGACGCAGTTGCTACTACTAGCCTTGGTTATTTGCACCCTTTCGACGCACATTCTGTTGCTGTAAAGGAGGAGCTCAGATGACTCTCAAAGTTGTGGTCTGCAGTGCCACCACGTGTTGTAACAGTGATGAAACAATGAGATGTTACTTCATACAGGATTCTATAAAACTAAGAGTGAACTAAACGAAAACATTCATAAACTCAAATCGAAATCGTCATATCAACACAATCATTACAAAACAGAAAATATTTTTGTATTACAGCAAATACAAATATTGAAAAGGAATATACAACGGCGATACCGCTGTCCGTGGTGCTGAATTGATATAGCTTTTTAAAAACAAAATAGGCTACAGTTAAACCTTGAAAAAATAAAAAAATATAAAAATACACAAACAACAGTTAGTATGATAGGGTCATTATTCCAGTACTGTATTTACAAAGTCATGAGACAATGAACTTATTTGCAAAACTAAACTGCATCATCGTAACAAGTGAGAAATTAAAATACTATTTCTAAATTGGCAAATCTGTCAAGTAGGTTACGTATTATTTTGAGTATCGGGTTGGGATGCGTGTAATAAAATAAATAAGAAGATATTTCCTATTATTTCCTAATTTACTATTAGACACATCTAAACTGGAATGTTACGGGTAGCCTAATGACAGTTTATAAAAAAAAAACTTAGCGTTTCTAAAAAATAAAAATAAAAATATTTGCAAGTCAAGCAGTGATTGCAATGCACAAGCAAGCAAGTTGCAATGGCTTACCTTTCCAGTAGGAAGAGTTTGTGTGCGCGTAAAAGTGTCGTCTCCACTATTAATGCTGATCAACTCCGCGTCTGCTGGCGGGAACGGCGAGGGGAAAACGACTACATCACTCTTTATTGTGTCTGAACTAAAACATACGTCATACTGTTGAGTAGATTTAGAGAAGGACCAGCTTCCGTCTGGATGGGTGTTGATCACTGGAGCGCTGTACCTGCTGAAACTGCCGTCTGTCCTGTAGCATTTAGCTGCTATCAAACCCACGAGACTCAGTAAAAAGATGACTGATACTGAGACGATAGCGATGAGCAGATACACATTCAGATCTGAGAAACTCTCCTCTTTAACAGGAACTTCTCTGAATGATGTCTTTATGTCATCCAGACTCTCAACAACCACAACATCCATGGACATAGTCGCTGAGAGTGATGGCTCTCCATTATCAGACACTGTAATGATAAGTGGGTGAGTTTTTAAGTCATTGTCACTCATTCTTCTCTTAGTCTTTATTTCTCCAGTGCTGCTTCCAATGCGGAAGAGATTCGTTCCTTTGGCTTCACTTATATGATAAGACAGAAGAGCGTTATATCCAGAGTCAGCATCAACAGCTCTGATCTTGGCTACAAAGTATCCCGCTTCAGCAGAGTAGGGAATGTTCTCAGTATTAACTGATCCAGGATCAGAATAAGGCGGTAAAATAACTGGACTGTTGTCATTTTCATCCAGAATAAACACATTTACAGTCACATTACTGCTCAGAGGAGGAACACCAGAGTCTGTTGCCATCACTTCAAACTGAAATCTTTTTGTTTCCTCGTGATTAAATGATTGTAAACTGAATATTTCTCCACTCAAAGAGTTTATATTAATCAGTGTTGTTACAGGAACTCTGGAGCTGGAACTGTCTAACAGTGAATATGAAAGTTCTGCGTTCTCACCAGTGTCTGAATCATCAGCTGTCACTTTTGTCACAAGACCTCCAGCTTGACCATTCTCACTTAGAAAAGCGTTAATAACGGGTGCTGGGAAATGTGGGGCATTGTCATTAACATCATAGATATGTACAGTTATAACAGTGCTGCTGGAAAGAGCCGGAGTTCCTTCATCTGAAGCTGTAATTGTGATGTTATACTGAGAAACACTCTCTCTGTCCAGATGTCCGTCTACCACTAGAGAATAATGATTGTTATATGACGTCTCCAGTTTGAAAGGAAACGAGCCTTTCAGCGCACAGTGAACAATGCCATTTTTAGCTCCATCTTTATCAGACACTGTGACTAAAGCAACAGCAGTTCCTGGTTTTGAGTCCTCTTTCACACTTTCCAACAGAGGAGTCGTAACTATCTCTGGTGCATTATCATTCTCATCCACAACTTCTATTAAAACTTTACAGTGTGTGATCCTTGGCGAATGGCCTTTATCTCTCGCCTGAACACGGAGTTCAATTGCAGAATCATCCTCGTAATCAATGTGTCCTTGAACAACAATTTCCCCAGAGTTAGGATTGATGCTAAACAGTTTTAATTCATCGGTATTTCCATGAAATGAATATTGAATTTCACTATTGATGCCCTCATCCAAATCAGTGGCAGACACAGAAATTATTTTGGTACCAATTGGTGTGTTTTCTTTTACTTTAACTTTGTATAAAGGTTTACTGAAAACTGGCTGATTATCGTTTATATCCATGACGTAAATAACAATACTCAAGGTTCCAGATTTAGGAGGTTTTCCTCCGTCAACAGCGGTTAGTATTAAGTGAATAACGGCTTGTTTCTCTCGGTCTAAAGCTTTCTGTAGTACTAACTCAGCAGATATACTCTTTTGCCCGCTATGAACATCTAAAGAAAAATATTCATTTGAACTCAGTTTGCAATCCTTCAGAGAATTACTACCAACATCTGAATCTTTTGCAATCGGGAGAGGAAATCTTTCCCCTTCGTTTGTAAACTCTGTAACATTGACAACATACACGCTGTCAGGAAAAAACGGAGCATTGTCGTTCACATCCACAATTATAATTTCAAGCCGATAAAGTCTGTGCGGATTCTGAGCAAGAGCCTCTAAATTCAATGTACATTTCTGATTAGAGCCACACAACTCCTCACGATCAATCCTGTCTTTGACAAACAGCGACCCCGTTTTTACATTTACATCAAAATACTTTGCATTTGATCCAGGCATAATCTGAAACATGCGTGATTCCAGTTCCTGAGCGCTGATCTTGAGGTCTTTTGCAATATTCCCGATCACGGTTCCTTTATTTACCTCCTCGGAGACGGAATAGACAATCTGGCCAACCGAACATTTCCTTAACAGAAATAAAACGATCCAGAAGCCATAATATCCGGAGAAATCCATGATTGTGCAAGAAAATGTCCAGCTATTCAAAGCGATTAAAACAACTAAACATACCTCTCACGATACAATCCGAAATCACGACGCAGAAGCTACTATAAGCCTTGGTTATTTGCACCCTTTCAACGCATATTCTGTTGCTGTAAAGGAGGAGCTCAGATGACTCTCAAAGTTGTGGTCTGCAGTGCCACCACGTGTTGTAATAGTGATGAAACAAAATGGTACTTCATAAAGGATTCTATAAAGCAAAGAGTAAACTAAACGAAAACATATCTTCGTAAATTCAAATCGAAATCATCATATCAACACAATCATTACGAAACAGAAAAGATTTTGTTTTGTATTACAGCAAATACAAATATTGAGAAGGAATATATAACGAATACCGCTATCCATGGTGCTGAATATGTTTATCTTTTTAAATACAAAATAGGCCACAGTTAAACGTCATATATATATATATATATATATATAGAGAGAGAGAGAGAGAGAGAGAGAGAGAGAGAGAGAGAGAGAGAGAGAGAGAGAGAGAGAGAGAGAGAGAGAGAGAGAGAGAGAGAGAGAGATACTAACAGCAGTTTGTATGATATGGTCATTATTCCAGTAGTGTATTTCCAAAGTCACGAGATAATGAACTAATTTGCAAAACTAAACTTCATCATCGTAACAACAAGTGAGAAATTTAAATAACATTTCTAATTTGACAAAGCTGTCCCGTATGTTAGTATTAACTTGAGTATCGGGATGCGCGTAATAAAAAGCAAACAAAATAAAAGGCTAATAAAACGCTATTTCCTCCTTTTTATATTATTCCTATAGACATGTAAACTTTAAAATAAACTGTAATGGGAGTTTATAAAAACCCAACATTCAACTGAATCGTTTCTAAAAATGTAATTTGCAATACACAGACAAGTTGCAGAGTCTTACCTTCTCGGTAGTAGGAAGAGTTTGTGTGCGCGTAAAAGTGTCTTCTCCACTATTAATGCTGATCAACTCCGCGTCTGCTGGTGGAAACGGCGAGGGGAAAACGACTACATCACTCTTTATTGTGTCCGAACTAAAACACACGTCATACTGTTGAGTAGATTTAGAGAAGGACCAGCTTCCGTCTGGATGGGTGTTGATGACTGGAGCGCTGTACCTGCTGAAACTGCCGTCTGTCCTGTAACATTTAGCTGCTATCAAACCCACAAGACTCAGTAAAAAGATGACTGATACTGAGACGATAGCGATGAGCAGATACACATTCAGATCTGAGAAACTCTCCTCTTTAACAGGAACTTCTCTGAATGATGTCTTTAGGTCATCCAGACTCTCAACAACCACAACATCCATGGACATAGTCGCTGAGAGTGATGGCTCTCCATTATCAGACACTGTAATAATAAGTGGGTGAGTTTTTAAGTCATTGTCACTCATTCTTCTCTTAGTCTTTATTTCTCCAGTGCTGCTTCCAATGCGGAAGAGATTAGTTCCTTTGGCTTCACTTATATGATAAGACAGAAGAGCGTTATATCCAGAGTCAGCATCAACAGCTCTGATCTTGGCTACAAAGTATCCCGCTTCAGCAGAGTAGGGAATGTTCTCAGTATTAACTGATCCAGGATCAGAATAAGGTGGTAAAATAACTGGACTGTTGTCATTCTCATCAGTTATAAAAACATTTACTATCAAGCTGCTGCTTAGTGATGGAAGACCCGAATCTGTCGCCTGAATTTCAAACTGAAATGATTTAAGGTCTTCGTAGTTAAATGATAGCTTACTGTACAAGTCTCCACTCTCACTATTTATATCAATCATAGAGATCAATGGAATCACAGTT